TAGCCAGAAGATGATGCGGGTTTGGAGCCATGGAGTCCGCACTTTGGTTGTATAACTATTACCCAGAGTCCCCCTCGCCCCGACGCCATGCACCGTCACCCCCTGGGTCTGCAGAAACGGGGTGACCACTGGATGGCTCATCTCCTAGGCAACACTTAGAAATCCTCCCCAGTGGGAGACTCCCACCGTCTCGGTTTCTGCACCTAAACTCCTAGACACCTTCCCGTGCCTTGTCCCCGCGCACATCACTTTTTTCCCATTTAACCATTTGCAAGTGTGTAGCTCTGCGGCATCAAGAACACCGTTGTAACTCCTCTAGCTGGTGTGGCGCAGTGGATAGAGCTTCGGCCTGTGGACTGAAAGGTCCCGGGTTTGATTCTAGTCAGGGCACATGCTTCCATTCCCGCCCGGAGGCGACCAGTGGATGTGTCTCTCTCACATCAGTGTCTGTAGAGACAAACATGTCTCCCCCCCTCCCTTCCACTCTCTCTCTAAAATTCAATGGAAAAATATCCTTGGATGAAGATTAACAAAAACATAAAAATAAACGTTGAGAGGAGGAAGGAAGGAAAGATACGGAGGAACAAATTCCTTGCTCAATTACAGCCGCCTGGGGGCGCTGCCGGCCTCCTGGCTAAGGCAGCCTGTCCAGCTGCGCCCTCTCCCGGCGGCAGTGAACACTGCAGACTCGTCACCCCGAGTCCAAAGGCCCCGCCCGTCCGCAAGCAGCACCCGCAGCAGAGCCCTGCGCGCCTGGCGAGGGATTCGTACCTTCGGACAAAACACAGAAACACTTTGAACAACTCACAAGCCACACATCTGCCTTCAGGGCTCACACCGCTGCGCTCACGGCCGCGCGCCCTCGGCGGTGCTGTTGACTCGACAGGACTCCCCGCGGCAGGACCCCGGCCAGGCCATGGCTGACCGGCTCGCATCGGCGGGCGGAGGCCCCGTCACTGTTCGCAGGGATGGTGTTGCCCTGGCGGCTTCCTTTGCTGCTGAGAAAATGACATCAAAGGTGTTTTCCTTTATTCAAAATGCAAGGTTAGAACTGTCCCAACTACTGAAGACGTGAGCGGGCAGGTGCCGTACCTGCCTCCCATGAGGGGCTGCCGTCTGCGCGTGCGAAGGGCATCTGGGCGCCTGCAGGTCTTTTCGTTGCACGTTCCTGTAAGCTTCCTACACGCCCCAAACGCGGGAAAGCATTCCTTTTCAAAGAACTGAAGGAAATATGAGGCAGTAACCAATACAGTAACCGTTACTTAGTTACAAAAATAAGTTCTCAGGCTGATTTTTAAAAACATGGACGCTCCACAAATGTCCGCGTCACCCTTTGCAGGAGCCGTGATCTCCGCACCTTCCCCTGTAGAGCACGTGCCGCCCAGCGGGCGCCAGGACCAGTGACTTCTCGCGATTCCCAAGGACCTGGCTAGAGACGTGGCATCTATGCTGCCCTTTCAGTCAGATGCCCCGGGCACCAGCACCAGAGCAGCAGCCCCCTGGGCACGCTGGTAGACGGGCTAAGCACTCCGTAAGGCGGCCGTCCAGTGGGCCGCTAGCAAGAACGGGAACAAGGAGGCAGATGGAGATGTGCTGGTTTGGGAAAATGTCCTGAATGAGCTAGTTTAGGAAAGAAAAGCTGGTGGTGCCATGCAGTCAAACCCTGTGCTGTGTGACAGGGCTGTAGAGTTTGGTGACATGTAGATAATGTGTAAAGCAAGTTTTTATGGTTAAGAAAATTTGTTGAACTTTCCGACTTAAAGTTGAAACTTAACATGAAAAGAGAATATACTCTTCCCATGGGCTGTTTTTCAAAACTGTTGTGAATGATCCTGTTTGTGTGTGTGTGTGTGTGTGTGTGTGTGTGTGTGCGCGCGCGTGCATATTATGCTATATATATTACACAGGGGGTAAACCCAAAAAAGTGCAATTTTAATTAAAAATAATCACTGAAATTAAAAAAAATCAATACTCTCAAAGAAAAAAAAAGTAATCACTGAGAAGTAAAAAGGCTCACTCAGGAATTTAGATGGGTTATCTTTGCATTTATAAAACACACTCAATATATGTATATATTATAAATGAGGCAAATATATTCCTAACTCGTTCTTTCCTGGGAATAACCTTGTATTCAACTCTTTCTACATCTGGTTTTTAATGTGTTTGCATTCGTTTTTTTATTGTTAGTGATTCCTTTCACACTTGCCCTGAAGCTGCACTTCAAGGAGCCAAGTGTTTGAGCGCCCCCAGCCCTGAAACACCCCCAGCTTTATTAGGCTAATGCTCTAGGGCACCAATGCCCAGACCCTTCCAGCTCTGGGGAAGGCAGGCAGGGTCTCCACTTATCTTAAGGGTATCAGGCTGCCACGAGATGACCAGCCACATTTTTTCAACTGTTAGTAGCCACCGACCCACTTGTACACAGACTCTAAAATGCCTAGTCAACACTTAGGAACTTTGCAATGCCTGTCCTGCAGTGGTTATTTTCAAGAAGCAACTGGTTATTTTCTGTTATGGCCCTTCATTTTATACACACACATATTTATTTCAGAGGGAGAGGGAGAGGGAGATAGACACATCATTGAACCATCCATCTGTTGCCTCCTACATGCCCCCTACTGGGGCTTGAGCCCGCAAACCAGGACCATAATTGAACCCAGGATCCTTGTCCACAGGCCAAGGCTCTATCCACTGAGCCAAACCAGCTAGGGCCCTTCATCTACACTAATAAAAGAGAATCATGGTAATTGGCGTACGACCGCTACCCTTTTCATTGGCTAACCAGCAAGATATGCAAATTAACTGTCAGCCAAGATGGCGGACGGCAGCCAGGCAGCTTGATACTAACATGAGGCTTGCTTGCTTCAGTGACAGAGGACTCCAACGTTCCCGCCTGCGACTGCAGGCCTCTGAGCCTGCAGTTTAATTAACTATGTAACAAATACCACGGGACTTCAGCCAGCAGATTTGCAACATTGTAAGCAAAGGCCAGAAACCTACTTTCAGCCGCGGAGGCCTAAGAGCTGGAGCCAAGTCTCAAAGCTGAAGCTGGCCCAGAATAAAAAAAAAAAAAGGAAAAAAGGAGCAGTTGGGAGCTTCAGTCACCCCCAGCCTGAAAACAGCCCTCAGCCCCTCACCAAGACTGGCCAGGCACCCCAGTGGGGACCCCCACCCTGAATGGTGTGTGACCAGCTGCAAACAGCCATCATCCCCTCACCCAGGCTGGCCAGGCACCCCAGTGGGGACCCCCAACCTGATCCAGGACACCCTTCAGGGCAAACCAGCCAGCCCCACCCGTGCACCAGGCCTCTATCCTATATAGTAAAAGGGTAATCTGCCTCCCAGCACCAGGATCAGCATGACAGAGGGCAGCGCCCAAACCCCCTGATCGCCCTGTGGCTCTGTGACGGGAAGGCGCCCCAACCCCCTGATCAGCCCTGCTCTGTGCCTGATAGGGGGGAGCTCCCTAACACCGCCCCCCCCCCCCCCACAGGCCCTGCTCTGTGTGTGACGGGGTAGAGCCATAACTTCCCCATTGGCCCTGCCCTGAGTGCGAGAGTTTTGGCGCCCCAACCCCCTGATCGGCCCTGCTCTGTGGGTGATAGAGGGCGGTGCCCCAACCCCAATTGGCCCTGCTCTGTGCGTGACAGGGGGTGGCGCCGCAACCTCCCCATTGACCCTGCCTTGAGTGTGACAGGGGACGGTGCCCCAACCCCCCAATCGGCCCTACCCTGATCGTGACTGAGGGTGGCATCACAACCTCCCAATCTCCCTGCTCTGTGCATGACAGGGGGCGGTGCCCCAACTCCCCAATCGGCCTTGCTCTGAGCCCAACCAGGTGCTGCACCCGGGAGCAGGCCTAAGCCAGCAGGTCGTTATCTCCCGAGGGGTCCCAGACTGCGAGAGAGCACAGGCCAGGCTGAGGGCCCCCCCGCCCCCTCCCCCCGCGAGTGCACAAATTTTTGTGCACCCGGCCTCTAGTTCTGTAATGAATATCAAAATTACACAACTCACCCTAACCGGTTTGGCTCAATGGATATTGCGTTGGCCTGTGGACCAAAGGTCATGTATTCCGGTCAAGGGCATGCACCTTTGGTTGCGGGCACATACCCAGTAGGGAGTGTGCAGGAGGCAGCTGATCGATGTTTCTAACTCTATCCCTCTCCCTTCCTCTCTGTAAAAAAAACAATAAAAAATATATTTTTAAAAAAATTACACAACTCTGAGCGTGACTCCAAGTGGTTACAGGTGCTGGTGGGGTTTCTGAGGATCTTGTGACATTGCTCAACTTACATGACTTGCAGTGAGTCACAGAAATCCACTGATCTATGCATTACCTACTTACGTCAACACAGTGAGAAACTCACCAGAATGGATTTGCCTACAACTCCTGGATTTTTCAAAAGGCATTTCCTAGTTATACTCCCCTAAATCTAGGACTTAAACCTGTTGACTTCAGGCATTTTATGATCAGCAAGCGAAAACACCAATTTTCCTCTACTCCATGAGGACTAGTGCTCTTTGGAGACCAGACTTCTGGGGACCAAGGGCAAATTGCTTCATTCACAATCAGTTATATAGAAACTCTGCATCTGCTGTTGCATGAAATTGAGGAATATTGAATATTGAATTTCAACCAATAGCTTTAATTCTCTAAATAACCACTAGCATAATGCATAACATTACCTTTCTTTAAAAATCTGGTCAAAGAACCTTCTATATACAACTTTTGATTTTAAATAGAGCTATGTATTTTAAAATTGATTTCTACTGTATGTTCCCTTCAACCACTCCCACCTTTTAAAAATCTCCTTGCTAGTATTCCAGAAACTTTCTTCATTCTCAGGTACCCAACACTATACCCAAACTCAGTATTTGAGTCAGTAGTTTATTATACCTCCTTACTACAAAATTACCTCAGTCTAAAACCTTGATCCCTCACACCCCACCCTAAATAAAAATAACCTCACTTAGCACTGATAAAAAAAAAATCACACTACTTGGGAATGCAACAACTTTATTGAAAGAAAAGTGCAATTTAAATTGGTTGGAAGCTTAAAAGGGATTAACTTAGACACCCCCTCTCAGGCGCAGGACCAGGTGCAGAGTGGACTCTTTCTGGATGTTGTAGTCGGACAGGGTGCGCCCGTCTTCCAGCTGCTTGCCGGCGAAGATCAGCCGCTGCTGGTCTGGAGGGATGCCCTCTTTGTCTTGGATCTTGGCCTTGACATTCTCGATGGTGTCACTGGGCTCGACCTCGAGGGTGATGGTCTTGCCGGTCAAGGTCTTCACGAAGATCTGCATCCCACCTCTCAGGCGCAGGACCAGGTGCAGAGTGGACTCTTTCTGGATGTTGTAGTCGGACAGGGTGCGCCCGTCTTCCAGCTGCTTGCCGGCGAAGATCAGCCGCTGCTGGTCAGGGGGGATGCCCTCTTTGTCTTGGATCTTGGCCTTGACATTCTCGATGGTGTCACTGGGCTCGACCTCGAGGGTGATGGTCTTGCCGGTCAAGGTCTTCACGAAGATCTGCATCCCACCTCTCAGGCGCAGGACCAGGTGCAGAGTGGACTCTTTCTGGATGTTGTAGTCGGACAGGGTGCGCCCGTCTTCCAGCTGCTTGCCGGCGAAGATCAGCCGCTGCTGGTCAGGGGGGATGCCCTCTTTGTCTTGGATCTTGGCCTTGACATTCTCGATGGTGTCACTGGGCTCGACCTCGAGGGTGATGGTCTTGCCGGTCAAGGTCTTCACGAAGATCTGCATCCCACCTCTCAGGCGCAGGACCAGGTGCAGAGTGGACTCTTTCTGGATGTTGTAGTCGGACAGGGTGCGCCCGTCTTCCAGCTGCTTGCCGGCGAAGATCAGCCGCTGCTGGTCAGGGGGGATGCCCTCTTTGTCTTGGATCTTGGCCTTGACATTCTCGATGGTGTCACTGGGCTCGACCTCGAGGGTGATGGTCTTGCCAGTCAAGGTCTTCACGAAGATCTGCATCCCACCTCTCAGGCGCAGGACCAGGTGCAGAGTGGACTCTTTCTGGATGTTGTAGTCGGACAGGGTGCGCCCGTCTTCCAGCTGCTTGCCGGCGAAGATCAGCCGCTGCTGGTCAGGGGGGATGCCCTCTTTGTCTTGGATCTTGGCCTTGACATTCTCGATGGTGTCACTGGGCTCGACCTCGAGGGTGATGGTCTTGCCAGTCAAGGTCTTCACGAAGATCTGCATCCCACCTCTCAGGCGCAGGACCAGGTGCAGAGTGGACTCTTTCTGGATGTTGTAGTCGGACAGGGTGCGCCCGTCTTCCAGCTGCTTGCCGGCGAAGATCAGCCGCTGCTGGTCAGGGGGGATGCCCTCTTTGTCTTGGATCTTGGCCTTGACATTCTCGATGGTGTCACTGGGCTCGACCTCGAGGGTGATGGTCTTGCCGGTCAAGGTCTTCACGAAGATCTGCATCCCACCTCTCAGGCGCAGGACCAGGTGCAGAGTGGACTCTTTCTGGATGTTGTAGTCGGACAGGGTGCGCCCGTCTTCCAGCTGCTTGCCGGCGAAGATCAGCCGCTGCTGGTCTGGGGGGATGCCCTCTTTGTCTTGGATCTTGGCCTTGACATTCTCGATGGTGTCACTGGGCTCGACCTCGAGGGTGATGGTCTTGCCGGTCAAGGTTTTCACGAAGATCTGCATTGTCTATTAGAACAAAAAGATGAAACAAAAAAAAAGAACCGGAGAGTTTAGCAGGCAATTCACCCATGAACACATTCCTAAGGCTAAGTGTCATTTTTTTATTGGCCCAATGGCTAAGATAAACACTTGCCTAGGGCAAGGAACCAAAAAAAACAAACAAACAAAAAACCAACTTGCCCTGACCGGTTTGGCTCAGTGGATAGACCCACGGCTCACGGACTGAAGGGTCCTTGGTTCGGTTCCGTTCAAGGGCATGTACCTTGGTTGTGGACACATCCCCAGTAGGGGGCGTGCAGGAGGCAGCTGATCGATGTTTCTAAGTCTCTATCCCTCTCTCTTACTCTCTAAAAATTAAAAAAAAAAAAAAAAACAAGAAAAATTGCCTAACAACACAGGTCACGTGTATAGACGTGGACACTGAAAACCCGCACAGCGTCACTAACCAGTGTCACCCCGATACATTGAGAAAGGGAAACCTGCCCACACACCCTCAGAAAGGGGACCGGAACCGGAACCTTCCTGGCTAAGTCAACCCCCGCGCCGGGCGCTCAGCAGAGAGAGGCAGGGAGACTGGCCCCGAGGACGATCCTGGCCGCGCACGCCCCTCCCCGCCCGTCCGCCTCCGTCAGCTCAGCCCAGGCCCCAGCCCTGCGTCCCGCCGACCGGCGTCGGGGGAAGGGAACCCTAGCGCCCCCCCCACCCCACAGGCGGCCCCGCCCGGCATTGTGCGCCCACAGCGGGGTGACGTCACGTGAGCGCGCCCCCGCCGTGGGTGCGGGTCGGTTCCGAGCGGCACCGGCCGGGCCGGGCCCCCTTGTCCCGCGGGGCCTTTGGGCCCGTTAGGCCGTGACAGACTTCACGGTGGACCCACACACCCCGCCCAGCCCCGTCCGGCCGCAGCCGCGCTCCCTCCGCGTTTCCCCGCCACGTTGCCCCTCAGCCCGCCCGCCGGCCCCACGGCCGCCTCACCGGCCGCCATTTCGCGGCGGCGCTCTCCCCTCAGGGTCCGCGGCTCGCGGGACCCGCTCGACTAAAGGCCCCCTCAGCTGCCCTGCCCCCGCCCGCGGCGGACACCCCGCCTGCCACCCTCGCCGCCCCCGAAGGAGCGGGACGGACCGGGACCCCGGCCGCGGCGGCCGCCGCTCACCAAGGGCGGTGAAGGAGGCTGCGAGCGAAGAGAACGACGACTGTGTTCCGACGACCGCGAATGCGCGCGCCACGCCCGGCGCCCCCTTATATATCCGCGCGCGCCCGGGATCCCTCCGCGGAGACAGGCGGAGGGACTACTTTCCCCGCCCCCGCCTCCCGCGGGATACCCAGTGCCTCCGCGTCCTCTGACTCCCCTTCGGGAATGTTCTGAGGCGAAGGCTGGCGCTCGGGACGGAACCGGCTGCGGCGGGGCGGCTCCTCCGAGGGCCCGCGCGGAGGGATCGGCGCGTTGGCTGCGCGCTGCGTCCGCGGACGGAGCCGGCGCCGGACTCGCTGGCCGGGCGGGGGAGGGGCGGGAGGGCGCCCGCGGCGGGAGCGAAAACCCGGCGCGGAGTCGGCGGGCGCTCGGAGCGGGTGGGGAGCCCGCGTCCCCCGCGACCCCGCTTCCCGGCCCGACGCCCCCTTTCTTCAGCCCCAACCGTCCCCCGCGGCTCCCGGGTCCCCCCCCCCCCCTTGACGGACAGGGGTCCGGCCCAGCGCCTCGTGCGGAGTCGGGGCCCCGCTCCCTTCCCCCCGCAAACAGGAGGGGGTCTTTATTTGGGGGTCACAGTTGAGATCTGGATAGGGTTTGCGTTTCCCTAAAGTTTTCGGGGAGCCGCGGCCCCCGCCCCCCCCCCCCCCCAGCGCGCCGGGCGGCGGCCGGCCCCTCCCCCGCGCTGGCGCCGGGACAGGGCGGATGACTCGGCAAATGTCCGCGGGGCCTGGACGCCGGCCGAGGCCGAAGGGCCGCTCAGGACACGCGGTGGGGGGAGGGGGGGGTTCTCGCGGAAAACTGTGAGTGGGAGGCCCGCCGGGTTGTGTCTGCGCTGGATTTTGGAAAGACAGGTGGACGGGCTTCATACTTTTAAAAAAGAAAAAAAGAAAAGAACGATTTGCCTCCAATAAATTATTTAAAAGGCTCCAAAAGAAAAAAACACAAACCACACAACGGTTTGCACTGGACCTGGAAGCTGGACAGGCCTAGAACCTTCTAGATGGTTCTAGAAAGTTCTAGAAGGTTCTAGACTGTTCTAGAGGGTTCTTTCCCCTTCCTGATTGGGGGGGGGGGGGCGGCCCGGGGTCCTGGAGCCCAGACCAGGCCCCGCTGGGCTGACAGCCCGTTGGGTTCCATTCCGGACAGGCCCAGGGCAGCTGGGTGGGTCCGAGGGGGAGAACACGGGTTAACCCCGAACATGAGCTGTGACCTGCAGGACGGTCCCGGGGGCAGGAGGAGAGAGAACGTGTTTTCACACAGATGAACGCGGGAACGTTGAGAACAGGGTTTTTAGAAGTTTCCAGTAAAAACTCCCCTGGTGTCACCCCCTTAGTCACTGTTCCTTCTGGGCTCCTCCAGGAGGACGAGCAGCCCCTAAGAAGGGGGAGGCAGGGAGATGTAATGTCTACCCTCTAAGGCGCCAAGAAAAAAAAATTAGAGGCAACAACAAAAAGACACGCCTGACCTTGGGCCCATTCCCCTGGGCCTGTTCGCCAGCGACTGAAAAAACAAACAAAAACAAAACAAATGCCATTCGGACGAGACGCCACCCCGGCTCCGGCTCCGTTGGACAGCCCCTGGCAATGGCTGAGTTCAGGAAGAAGGGCGAGCAGTTCACAATAGATACCCCCCCCCGCCCCCCGTTGTTTTTTAACATTTTTTCCAAGAGAATGAACTCATGGCGGGGGGAATGGACACGAATAAAATGTTTTCTGGGGTAGCAGCCCCCCCAACACCCCGGACTTCCAATACAGACTTCTGTCAAGGTCATTTCTTAAGCAATGGACACAGACCGTAGTGGGGTGAGGGCGTGTGCTGGGGGGGGGGGTGGGGGCGTGTGCTGGGGGCGGGGCGTGTGCTGGGGGGGCGTGTGCTGGGGGGCGGGGGCGTGTGCTGGGGGGTCGGGGCGTGTGCTGGGGGTGGGAGCAGAGGTCAATGGGGGAAAAGAGAGGCTCATGTAATACTTTAAACAATAAAGAATTTAAGTTAAAAAGGAAAAAAGAATACTCATGTAGGTAAATAAACAATAATTTTAAAAATAGATGACTTCTTTCTAAATTTCTGGAAAGAGGTGCGAAAGGAACCAAACACGGAGGCTCTGTCCGGGGTCCTTTCTCCCCGTTTTTCAGGGTTTCGGGCCGAAGTTGAGAGGTTTTCTCTAAGGGGCCGCACCCGGTTGCCCTGGGTGTCGCGCTGGGTGTTGCTTTGCTGGGAGCCTTGTGATGGGGGTGCGTCAAGGCTGAGTCAGGAGCCGCGTGGCAACAGCTCTGTCCGGAGTCCAGAGGCGTTCAGGGGCCGAGGGGGAGGGAGGGCAAGAGAAGGAGACGGGCTCGGCCTGGGGCGTGGGCCCGGGGAGCTCCAAGGAGAAAACAGCATGGGAGGAGCGGGGGGACGGGAGGAGCTGGGGGGACGGGAGGAACTGGGGGGACGGGAGGAGCTGGGGGGACGGGAGGAACTGGGGGGGCGGGAGGAACTGGGGGGGCGGGAGGAACTGGGGGGGCAGGAGGAGCTGGAGAGGGGACAGGAGGAGCTGGGGGGGCAGGAGGAACTGGGGGGGCAGGAGGAGCTGGAGAGGGGACAGGAGGAGCTGGGGGGGCAGGAGGAACTGGGGGGGCAGGAGGAGCTGGAGAGGGGACAGGAGGAGCTGGGGGGGGGCAGGAGGAGCTGGAGAGGGGACAGGAGGAGCTGGGGGGGCAGGAGGAACTGGGGGGGCAGGAGGAGCTGGAGAGGGGACAGGAGGAGCTGGGGGGACGGGAGGAGCTGGAGGGGTGGACAGGAGGAGCTGGGGGGACGGGAGGAGCTGGGGGGACGGGAGGAGCTGGGGGGGCAGGAGGAGCTGGGGGGGCAGGAGGAGCTGGGGGACAGGAGGAGCTGGGGGGGCAGGAGGAGCTGGAGAGGGGACAGGAGGAGCTGGGGGGACGGGAGGAGCTGGGGGGGCAGGAGGAGCTGGAGAGGGGACAGGAGGAGCTGGGGGGGGCAGGAGGAGCTGGGGGACGGGAGGAGCTGGGGGGGCAGGAGGAGCTGGAGAGGGGACAGGAGGAGCTGGGGGGGGCAGGAGGAGCTGGAGAGGGGACAGGAGGAGCTGGGGGACGGGAGGAGCTGGGGGAACACCCAGGTTGTCTCTAGCAGGAAAAGAAATTCTGAAATGCCCGCCGCCCCCAACTGAAGTCCAGCAAACACTGGCCAAGGGCCCTGAGATGAGGAGAGCAATGAGCGTCGCCAGTGGACAGGGGGCGGGGGGGGGGCATGTGCTGGGGGCGGCCGGGGAGCGGTCAGTGGGGGAAAGGAGACTTCTGTAATTCATTCAACAGCAAAGAACTTTAAAAAAAAAAAAAAGGAGAATGACCTTGCCCAAGACTAGTGGCTGCTGTTTTTCCGGAAAGACAGGCCACTCTCACCCAGGAGGCACGGGGTCCCTCGGGGCACCTGGCAGGGGGGTTCGGCCAGGGATGCCGCTGAGCCCCCTACAATGGACAGTCCCCCCACCACACAGCCACCTGGCCCCCATGTCAACAACGCCCAGGTTCGGGGCCCCAGGTCTCCAGAGGCTTTTTGGGGTCCCTGGAAAGTCTGCATGTCCCGCTGGGGCTCGGGAATCGGGGCTCAGGTCACAGGCCACGCTGCTCCCAAACCCACAGGCCCTGACCTAGAATGCCGTGTTCCAGAATGTGCTGGAGGCAGGGTGAGTCACGCCATCCATTTCCAGCTCCTCCCTGACTCAGACCCTTCCTTTGCAGGCGCCCCAGAAGCCAGGGCGTCAGAGCTGCCACCAATGGCAGCGCGACAGAGGCCCAGCAACAGGCCCGGATTGGCCAGTCCCCCCCCAACACCCTCACCCCACCCCACCCCCCCCACCCCCGGGCACATGATGCACTGAGCTCACAAAGGCCTGGGTGCCAGGCAGCCGGGTGGGGGCTGGGGGGCAGAGATGGGCCTGGTGCCCGCGTGTCTGCTGAGCTTCCTCTCCCCGCAGAGGACTCAGCTGCCAGGAAGGTGACAGCCTCGTGTGGCACTCACCACTCAGCGCCCAGGGAATGTCCGCGGACACGGTGCCCGCAGGCCTGTCCCCGGAGAGCTGGGTGGGAAGGGCTTGCCTTGCCTTGTCATGGGTTTTGCCACCATAAACGGGAGTGAAGGGACTCAGCCGCTTAGGGGGGGCAGGGGGGCGGGAAACACCATGAAAAAGGAACCCCACACAGAACACAGCGGCCAGGGCCCTGCTGTTCTCCTGTCCGCCTCTGAACATTTGCATCACGAAGCAGAACACAGCCGCTCCGGCTTAAAAACAGCCGCTCCCACCCCCTAACTTCCTGGGGCTGTTAAAAATCGCCATGGCAACACAGACAACAAAACTGAACCATCTTCATTAACCATTTAAATTATATATATCTATATAGATTGATTTCAGAGAGGAAGAGAGAGAGGCAGCAATAGCAACGGTGAGAGAGAATCACCGACCGGCCGCCTCCTGCCCGCCCCACACTGCCCTGACCCAAACGGAACCGCGCCCCCCCCCCCCCCCCCCCCCGGGTTCGAGGTCGATGCCCGACCCCTGAGCCACACTGGCCCGGCTTACCTGTTTTACGAGCACAGCTCAGCGTGTCCAGTGTGTTGGGGGGGGAGGGGGGGGCGCGGTTCTTAGAGACCCTGGCATTGAAGGAGAGTAACAGGAGGAAAATCCAGGTGTTCGCTGACTCCAATGCCGTCTCCTTGGGGGATACCCGGGGGACAAGGAGTCACTCAGAGCGGCCGATTCAGATCTGAGGCCTAAATACCACCGGGAGAGGGGCGAGCAAGGAGGCCTCTGAGGGGAGAGTGAGTGATGGTAGGAAAGACACGTGGGAAGAGGACGGGTGGGAGACAGGATCGCTTGTGACCAAGTGGGGTGTCCTCTCCTAGCCTCAGTCCTGCGACAGGAGTCCGCTGGTCCGTGGAACCCCCGGAGGGGACCTCGGGCCTCTCAGCTCCTGGGGGAGACTGTCGGGCAGCGAAGGGGACCCCGGGAACGACTCTCCTCGCGTTTGCAGTTTTCCAAGTGCCTTCAGCTCAAAATTATATCCAACTGGTTCAGCTGGTTGAGTGGCCCCAGGAACTAGAAAGTGTGGGTTGGATTCCCGGTGGTCGGGCAGGGCACATGCCCGGGTTGTGTGGGTTTGAACTCTCTCTCTCTCTCTCTCTCTCTCTCTCTCCTTATCCCCTCCTCTCTCTCTAAAATCAATAAAAGCTTTAAAACAACAGCTAAGTGGCCTATTTGGCGGCGGCACATTCTACCACCTTCCACGTCCACACTGTTATGCAGCCACCTCCACACCTGTGTTCCTCTTGCAACACTGACCTCTGACCCATTAGCCAACTCTCCGTTGCCCCATCCTCCCGCCCAGGGCAGCCGCCACCCCACTTCCCATCTCTGGTATGAAGCTGATGTCTCCAGGGACCTCATCGCAGGGGTTTTGTGTTGCTGTTGATGTTTTTTTATGTAAAATAAAATGGTGTTAGAAACGATTTTTTCCCAAGATTCACAACTTTTCTAGGAGGCTCCGTTTCCCAGCACAAGCCTGATGTGATTCTTTTTTCTCTCTTTGGGGTATTTTCCCCCCTTGTCATTGTGTATTGATGGGGGGGAACCTATCATCTGATAGATAGAGCACCTGAATTAATTTGAAAAATAATCCTACTATTTTAAATCTTAGGACACATATACTTACATGAACCGGCGCTTAAGTTTCTCATATGTGAAGAAGGGGTGAGGTTTTCCCCAAGTTTCCCTTTCAAGGCCTGTGCAGAGCGATTGAGGAGGTGACCCCGCTGTGAGTCCAGCAAGCAGAATGGATAAGCAGGGTCGGACTGACCCACCAGGAGTCAAAACGTCATCTCATCCACATCATCTCCTCACCATCATCTCCTCACCATCATCTCATCCACATCATCTCCTCACCATCCTCTCACCCACATCATCTCATCCACATCATCTCCTTACCATCCTCTCATCCACATCATCTCCTTACCATCCTCTCATCCACATCATCTCCTTACCATCCTCTCATCCACATCATCTCCTCACCATCCTCTCATCCACATCATCTCCTCACCATCATCTCCTCACCATCATCTCCTCACCATCATCTCATCCACATCATCTCCTCACCATCATCTCCTCACCATCCTCTCATCCACATCATCTCCTCACCACCATCTCCTTACCATCCTCTCATCCACATCATCTCCTCACCACCATCTCCTTACCATCCTCTCATCCACATCATCTCCTCACCACCATCTCCTTACCATCCTCTCATCCACATCATCTCCTCACCACCATCTCCTTACCATCCTCTCATCCACATCATCTCCTCACCACCATCTCCTTACCATCCTCTCATCCACATCATCTCCTCACCACCATCTCCTCACCACCATCTCATCCACATCATCTCCTCACCACCATCTCCTCACCACCATCTCATCCACATCATCTCCTCACCATCATCTCCTCACCATCCTCTCATCCACATCATGTCCTCACCATCCTCTCATCCACATCATCTCCTCACCATCCTCTCATCCACATCATCTCCTCACCATCCTCTCATCCACATCATCTCCTCACCACCATCTCCTTACCATCCTCTCATCCACATCATCTCCTCACCATCATCTCCTCACCATCCTCTCATCCACATCATCTCCTCACCACCATCTCCTTACCATCATCTCATCCACATTATCTCCTCACCACCATCTCATCCACATCATCTCCTCACCACCATCTCATCCACATCATCTCCTCACCACCATCTCACCCACATCATCTCCTCACCACCATCTCACCCACATCATCTCCTCACCACCATCTCACCCACATCATCTCCTCACCACCATCTCATCCACATCATCTCCTCACCACCATCTCCTTACCATCATCTCATCCACATTATCTCCTCACCACCATCTCACCCACATCATCTCCTCACCACCATCTCACCCACATCATCTCCTCACCACCATCTCACCCACATCATCTCCTCACCACCATCTCATCCACATCATCTCCTCACCACCATCTCCTTACCATCATCTCATCCACATTATCTCCTCACCACCATCTCACCCACATCATCTCCTCACCACCATCTCACCCACATCATCTCCTCACCACCATCTCACCCACATCATCTCCTCACCACCATCTCATCCACATCATCTCCTCACCATCATCTCACCCACATCATCTCCTCACCATCATCTCACCCACATCATCTCCTCACCACCATCTCATCCACATCATCTCCTCACCATCATCTCCTTACCATCCTCTCATCCACATCATCTCCTCACCACCATCTCATCCACATCATCTCCTCACCATCATCTCACACACATCATCTCGTGGCCAGACAATAGCTGACGTCTGCGGACCCCCAGGGCTGCCTCACCCCCGCCCCTTCCCCTTTCCAGTCCCGCCCCCTGCACCTGCTGAAAGGCAGGTTTTGATGCTTGAAAGCGCCCTGTCTTCATGGTGGGCCGGCCTCCTCAATAAGCGCCTCATAGGATTCAACCTGCCTTCGTGGCTGGACACAGCGACAGGCAGCCCCAGCCCACCCGGGGGGTTCCCGGTGACACGATTAGAAATACGTAATGGTCAGCTCAAAGTAAAGCAGAAGCCTATCATTAGTTTCGCGTGAGGCCTCATAAATGTAACTTCACCTTTGCTTGTTTACAAACAGGAGCTGCCACCCCTACGCCTCCAGCCCCCGCCCAAGGGCGAGTCCCTTCAGGAATTTCAGTTTCATCTCAGAAATGAAGGCTTTGCAGTCTCTCCAGACCTAAGGTGGGATGTTTTTAATTTTTTGGAGGGTGGGTGGATGTTTTAAAATGTGAGCTGGCCTGGCTGGTGTGGCTCAGTAGTTGAGCATCTACCTATGAACCAGGAGGTCATAATTCCATTCCCGGTCAGGGCACAGGCCCGGATCTCGGGCTCAATCCCCAGTGGGGGGCATGCAGGGGGCAGCTGATCAATGATTCTCTCTGGTCATCGATGTTTCTATTTCTTTCCCTCTTCCTTCCCCTCTGAAAGCAATAAAAATATATTAAAAAAACACGCAAGTGTGGAGTCAAATGAGACAGATTGATGGACAAGGATCCATTATTACTGCAGACCAAGAACAGGACCCCTTCTTTTAATGAAAAATAGCTTTCATTTTTAGTGATTAAATGCAGTGTACACGTATAAAGAGTTCATGCACTCCATTCATTCATTCATTCGTTCATTCTTACATTCATTTATTCTGGTCCTGTTACTGATGAAGCAGGGAGCAAGCTCTCTGCTGGGAATGCCAGTCTCCTTTTGGGCGGCTCCCTCTGAAAAAGGTTGTTGCTGGCAGCACAGAGGGCGAAGGGCAAGGCCGGCACAGACCTCTGACCCCCGACGTACACATCACCCCGGCGGCCGGGAATGAGCCCCACCCCGCAGGCCTCACTGCAGGCGCTGTCACTGCCCAACGGGACACTCTGCCCAGTGGTGCTGTGGTTCCCAGCATCATTGCTCCCGTTCGCCTCCTCCAGCAAAAGCACATCTGGAACGTTCCAGGCTTGAGGAAGGACCGATCTCGACTGTGGGGGAAACCGCACCTCCAGGTGGTGACAGGAGGAGCTACACCTGTATGGCCGCATCCGGGTAGGCGCTTTAAGGATGAACAGGAGAAAGAAGAATGAGAAAAATAACACAATGGAGATGCCGGGGATCGAACCCGGGGCCTCATACATGCAAAGCATGCGCTCTACCACTGAGCTACATCCCCCAGCCCTGCACTGCTGCTTCCTGGAATTCTCTGCTAAAGCCTCATCTTAAAATCTTTTTTCCTGAATAAATTTTATACATTTACATGTGCAGTGCCCTTTTTTTCTAAGTAAATTCTATACATTTAAATGCGTAGTGCACCAAGGCCGCAGGTTGCACCCCCAGTCAGGGCACATACAAGAAACCACCAGTGAACGCATGAATGTAAACTGAGGAATAAAACAGACCCAGACCCACAGAAGCAGGGGACAGCTGGGCCAATCTCAGAGAGGGGGCGTGGGTGGGAGAGATTAACTAAAGACCTGGTTTGCATATATGCAGAACCCATGGACACAGACAATGGTGTGGTGAAGGCCTGGGGGGGAGGGGGCAGGGTGGAGGGGGCCAATGGGAAAATGAAAAGGGGCGGGCTTCTGAGATATTTTAATCAAGAAAGATAAGTTTTAAAAAACACAGTAAGGGGAACAACAAATCGATGTTTTTCTCCCAAAGAGGCCTGTTTCTCATAACCCCACAGCCGGCGTTCTAGCCGGTGCTGGAACCAGGAGCAAAAGGGAAGAGGCCTCGTCTTTTTTGTTGTTTGTTTTTGGTGGAGGTGCAGGAATGAATTAAAAAAAAAAATCAAATCTCTAGGGGAACGCTGGTTAATAACAGTAGATAAAGCTCTGCCTACTCCACTGTGTGCTCAGCAGCAGAAGGCTGGTCCCCTTCCGCCACCACGCCGCTGACCCCCGACCTCTTCCCCCTCCAGCCCCCTCTGCTCCGGTGACACCATCCGGTTGCACACTGACCTGTTCTTCATTTGCTTTCTGTTTCACAAAGCGGAACTATCCTTACTGCACAGGACAGACTCTGGTACTTCATTCCATACTATTTTCTTTTTAATCCTCACCCAAGGATATGTTTTCATTTATTTTATGTGTTTATTTACGTAATCGTTATTGTTTAAAGTATTACATATGTCCCCTTTCTTACTCTCTTGACGCCCCCCGTCCCCAACCCCCCATACTCCGGTTTCCCCCATTCCCCCCAGTCCCAGGCCCTCAACACCCCTCTGCCTGCGTCCATGAGGTATGCATCTATACATACAAGGCAAACAGACCTATTATGGAATGTTGCTCCTAACAAAACCAAACAACCCAGTAAAAGATACACAGCCTCCCCGTCGGGGAATCGAACCCCGGTCTCCCGCGTGACAGGCGGGGATACTCACCACTATACTAACGAGGACGAGCCATGCCGAGGCCCCTCCACGCCTGTTCCTATAGAAACCGCCTTCTTCCGCTGCCGCGCGCATCACTCCCCGCGGTCTCCGCCTGCGCCGCGGGGCGGGCGGGCTTCTCCCCTGCGCCGAGGGGCCTGCTCCGATCCTCGGAGGCGCTGAGCACCCCGAAAGGAAGAAACACGCGCACGTGGAGAAAGGCCGCCACTTCCTGCATCCGCGGGGCTCCGAGGGCGGGGGATGTAGCTCAGTGGTAGAGCGCATGCTTTGCATGTATGAGGCCCCGGGTTCGATCCCCGGCATCTCCAACCTTTTATTTTAACATCTCTCCTTCAAGGAGTTTAGCTCTTCACATGCCCCGGAGGTCGCCGCCTTACCTTCTCCGCAGCTCCGCGGGCTTGCTGGAGCTGCGCCCGCTCACGCAGCGGAAATGAGCACAGGCAGCGGGAACGGACGAGCAGCCGACAGACGCGGGGCAGTTAATCGGCTTTCACGACATAAAATAAATGAGGGTCAAGGAAACGCTTGCTCCTGTTGGATTTCCCCGGACGGGACGCACCGAGAGGTTTCCAGCCGCTCGGGCTCCCGGGGGAAACTCGGAGCTGTTTCAAACAAAGAAAGCGAACCCCCTTTTTCCTCTCTACTCGCTTATTTCCACCGCGCTCGGGGCGGGGGGAGAAAGAAATAAAAAGGGAAAAGGAGAGCTGCCGAAACCCGGGATCGAACCAGGGACCTTTAGATCTTCAGTCTAACGCTCTCCCAACTGAGCTATTTCGGCCGCTGTAAATAGGCGCCGCCCGGTCCCTCCCATGTTGTTCTCAACGGCCCAGCGTCATCGCATCCGCCCTGGAATCCGGGCGGGGAGACGAACTCAGCCGCTTCCACCCTGCGGGGCCGGCCCCCACCTGTAGGCAATGCCCCTTCTCGGCCTTCAGGCCACCGCCTCCCGGAAGCTTTCCCTGATCACGCCTCCCAGCACGACCCCAGCCCCATATTGGGGATTGATCGCTTAGTTATTGGTTTCCTATCTCCCCCCCCCCCTCCCCCCCCCCGCCCCAGCAGGGAAGCCCTCTGTCTGGGTCACTGCAGGGCCGAGAGCCGTGCCTGGAACATAACCTGTGCTCCATAGCCAGTTGTGAATTCATAAGCGAATGGATGGATGGGTGGATGGATGGGTGGATGGGTGGATGGATGGGTGGATGGATGGATGAATGGATGGATGGATAGATGGATGGATGGATGAACCCTGCCTGGCTCAGACCTCAGCTTTCTCAAGCTCCCTGCTCTGTGCAAAGGCACCAGGTCACCCGTGGGCGCAGCTCCCGGGCAGCCCACAGGTGCAGGGATGCTGCCCACGCCGGGCCTGAGTGAGGCTTTCCTCGGGGCAGCGAGCGCCCCAGATCCGGCCTCCAAGCGCAGCCCCCACACCTGGGCGCCCTTGCAGCCCCGAGGCACGAGGAGGCATGAGGAGACCGGCAGGGCCGCAGCCAGGTACGGCTCTGACTCTTCGGTTTGGAAACTGGGGGTGGGGTTGGGGGTGGGGTTGGGGGTGGGGGGTGGGAAGGGCTGCCCGGGGAGGACCCACTGGTGGGGGGATTGTCCACGATGTGAGGTCATTTGGCAAGTGCCGGCCAAACACCTGGTGACCCTCTGGCTCATCCACGAATCCAGGAACGAGATAGGGGATAATAGTTGTGCTAAGAAGCAAAATAAACCAAAATAAACCGCAGTGATGGGGTGGGATTCGGGGATACGGCAGCGAGAGACACAGGGAGCTGAGAGGACCTGAAGCATAGCGAGCCCGCCGTGCTAAGACCTGAGGAAGAGGCCCTTGGACGGAGGGACCGCTGGTGCAAAGGCCCTGGGGCCGGGAGGAGGGGGATAATCGGAGGCGCAGAGAGTGGGGTGGGAGAGGGGAGGAGGGTGAGGGGCAAGAGGGCAGCCGGAAAGGCCAGAGAGGCGGGCGAGGCCAGAGCTTGCCAGGCCGCAGGGAGAGGTGCTGCATGGGCTTCTGGTTGCACGTGGGAGGTCTGATTGTGATAGAGCTCGTCTGGGTGTGCGGTCCCCTCCGTCTCCTGTCACAAGTCAATCATGTGTGACAACTGAGGCTCTGAATCAGGGGTCCTCCAACTTTTTAAACAGGGGGTCAGTTCACTGTCCCTCAGACCGTTGGAGGGCCGGACTATAGTTAAAAAACAAACAAACTATGAACAAATTCCTATGCTCACTGCACATATCTTATTTTGAAGTAAAAAAACAAAACGGGAACAAATACAATATTTGTATTGGCATGTGGCCCGCGGGCCGTAGTTTGAGGACCCCTGAATCTGCACACCACGTGGTACACCCTGAACCCCTTCAGGAGCGAGGGGACCGTCTGGACTCCCCCTGCTCTCCCCCTGCTCTCCGTGCACAGCAGGCCTTTGAAAAGCATGACGAGTATCATCCTGATAAAAATGGAGGAAGAAAGAACGGAAGGAAGGAAGGAAGGAAGGAAGGAAGGAAGGGAGGAACACGGGGAATGGGAAACGAGGAAAAGAAAGGCAGGAAAGAGAAAGGAAAAGAAAACAAAAGAGTCCAGACAGGTGGAGAATGGAGTCAAGGAGGCACTCCCGCCTTCTCCCGGGCCTTCTCCACAGAGAGGACCCATGCCCGGAGCAGGTGGTGATGAGGTGGCCCTGGGCAGGCCACACAGCCATTCTCCAGGCCTCAGTCTCCCCATCTGTCTAATGGGAGGACATAGCACCCACCCGTGAGGTTGCTGTGGAGACTAAATGAGCGCTCACCTGCACAGCGCCGAGCACTGCCCGGTACATGATAAAAGTTGCATAATTGTTAGCTGTGACCAGGGATATAAATGCAAAATCTCTCAAGCTATATCCATTAGAGATTATAGATTACGCATATAATGGGGGACCTGTTAGGCCCACTGCGCGCACCTGGCTTTTTTCCTTAGTGACGCGCCAATTGCCACGTTTGCAAGGAAAACCGCGAGGTGCACACAGGACTTAAAAGTTTTAGTCGCCTCCCCGTCGGGGAATCGAACCCCGGTCTCCCGCGTGACAGGCGGGGATACTCACCACTATACTAACGAGGACGAGCGCTGGTTGGGCCCCTCCGCGCTGGTCCATATGGACATGGGTTCCCTTCCTGTCGCCCCGCGGGCTCCAGGTCGGGCCTCCCCAGGTGCAGTGCCTGGTCCTGGGCTTTGCGGGCGCGGAAGGAGCCGCTGGACCGGAGCCGCTGGGCACCCAGACAGGGGCCCGGCGAGCGGAAGGACACTGGGGCTTCCCACAGCCCCGCCACCGCCAGGCCCAGGGGATGTAGCTCAGTGGTAGAGCGCATGCTTTGCATGTATGAGGCCCCGGGTTCAATCCCCGGCATCTCCACTCCGTTTTCCTGTACTTTTTGTTTTCTTTTACCTTTTCAGCCGTGTAAGTCAGTTGCCGGGTGGGAAGGCGAGCAGAGAAGGGGACCCAGGCTCCCCCCATCAGCAGACCCGAGAAGGAAGCTCCCTGGAGCCTGCTCACAGACGCCCGGATCCCTCCGCTAGGGCGGTGGGATGCAGTGGGTGGGGGAAGGGAGGGGGGAAGCTGCACTTCTAAACAAACATTCCTGGATATTCGAGTCAGGCGGTTAGGAAAACAGTGGGTTTCTAGGGAGGGTTTTGCAACTGGCCATCCATTCAGTGACCCTCGCGTGCCCGATGCCAGGGAGTGTGCACGCTCTGCGCACCTACTGTGTGCCCAGGCAGCGTTTAGGGAGCCTCGTGTCCCCCATACCCCAGGCCGTTCCTCAGCCTCCTGCCCTGGACACTGGCTTTCGGGAGGCTGACGCTAGGCAAGCGGTGCTAAGTGTTAGGGAGACTCATGACGGGCCGGGGCTGAAGGCGGAGGCGGTGTGTGGGGGCTGCCAGAGACACCCTCACCCTCAGGGCGCCTGCCCGGCTGCAGGAACAGAGGAAATGGCAGCTGCAAACCCCTGAGGTCGAGACGGGGGTGCGCTCTGCGTGGCAGGGACCGAATTGAGGCCGCAGGGGATTCCCTCTCCGACACTGGAGGGCGCGGCGCGCGAACAGGATGGAATGTGGGTTGCAGAGGCGCCCGCTGGCGGCCACGTGGAGAACCGGCGATGGGCCCCCAGGCTGGACCCCACCAGCCAGGGCCCCGCAGGCGGCGGCGGGGAGGGCGCGGGAATGGCCTGGGGAGGGAGGGGCAGTGACAGGACTCGCAGGCGGCGTGGGTGCTGGGGGAGCGGCCAGGGGAGACCTCGGTGGGGGCGCAATGGGGACAGCGGCCAGGCTCCGGGGCGGTGAACGGTTTGGAATATGGGACATGTCCCTGTGACCTGGCGCTTACACGGTGGCGTCCGCACACACTGATTGAGGAAAAGCACCCGGCGAAGGTGGGGGGAACCTGGCACCCAGGGGACCTCACCGACCGCAGGTGAGAGCACGTGTGGGGGGGAGGGGCACACCCAGACCACCCACATTCAGAGGCACTAGGACTGCTGGACTCCACGCCAAGATTAAAAATATATATATATATATATTTATTGATTTCAGAGAGGAAGGGAGAGAGAGAGAGACATCAATGATGAGAAAAAAATCATTGATCAGCTGCCTCCTGCACACCCCCTACTGGGGATCGAGCCTGCAACCCAGGCAGATGCCATGTGCTTTGACAGGGAATTGAACCGTGACCTGCTGGTTCATAGCTGGATGCTCAACCAGGAGCCAGGCCAGCTGGGCCATGCCACGATTTATTTCAGCAAGGCACTGATGGGCTGGCCATCGGGGGACGCCCCTCCTGGTGCCCCCTCTACAGGAGAGGGTGGGAGCCTGGGGGCCCTGCCCGCCATAGACACCCCCTGAGGAAGGACCTACAGTCGCCCCTGCTCTCAGCGGCTTCGCCCTCCCGCCCTGTGGCTCCACAGGCGCTAATGTAGCCCATGGAGCACCTTTAAAAAGGGGGTCAGGTTGGCGTCTGAGATAATCCCTCGCCCACCCCCTAATAAATACAGTCACCCCAGATCGGGCCAAGTCGCATGAGGGCCAGAGGGACCGTGTCTGATGGGCTGCTGCCGTCCCCCTGGGTCCCTAGACCAGTCCTCAGTCCTGCGGCCAGCCATCAGGTCAGCGGTCAGCCGTCGGGGGCCAGGCCTTCTCCACGTCCGCGTGCATGGCCTGCGGGAGCCACTCGCAGTACTCAGCCAGCAGGTCTGCAGGGCGGGGGGGATGGGGTCAGAGGGGAGGGCGGGGTCAGAGGGCTTTGTACCCCGCCACCCACTCCAGGCAGAGCCTCTCCAACCCTGGCTGCCCTGGCCACCCCCATCCCGTCCACTCTCAACCCCTTGGCCGGGGGCGCCTCTGGTCAAACTCACATCTGGGGTTTTTCCTCCACGCAGCCAGCAGGGCGTCGCGGTGGTCGGCTTTCTCGGCAACCAGGGCTCTAAGGAGACTCTCTGTCCTGGGCTGCAGCCTGCGGGCGGGACGTGGGGTGTGGGGCGTCATGCGGCCACAGGCTGGCCACCGCCCAGCCAGCCCTGCGCAGGAGGGTCCACACCTCATCCCCTCTCCGCCCCACCGCCCACCACTGGCGCCTGGGCTGCCTCTGACAGAGATGCAAGTGCTGGGGCCACGAGCCAAGAAAAGCTGGGCCACCAGGTGCTGGTCGAGGCGGGAGGACCTCCCCAGAGCCTGTGGAGGGGACAGTCCTGAGGTGCTGACTGTCTGGCCTCCAGAACCATGCAAATAGATTCCTGAGGACTGAAGCCGCTTGGTCGGTGGTATTTGTTACACTGGCCCAGGACACTAGTACCAGCTGCCGCCACCACCGGCCCAGGCGCCCAGGCAAGGCCGTACCTGGCCCACGTCTTCAGCATCGTGCTGGGGCTGGACAGCAAACAGGCCTGGTAGGAGGCCAGCCTGGGGAAGACCTGGGGAGACCGAGACCGTAGGGTCAGCGAGGGCCCGGCTCCCCTCCCGCCCACCACACAGGAGCGCGGCCTACCTGCCCTTCCAGCAGGAAGCGGGCGAAGTGCTTGTAGCGGTCCAGGCCCTCGGGGAAGTCCACCTGCACCGCGGGCAGCGGCCAGCCCACGCGATCTGGAGGGCAGGAGCGGGAGCGTAAGGGGCCGGGTGGAGCCCACGGCCGCCCTAGTCCCTCCCCCGGGCCCCGCCCACAAGAGGGACAGGCAGCCTGGGGAGACCCCCCCCCCAGACACAGGGCGTGAGACCGCAGGCGGGAGCCCCAGGCCACCAGGGAGTCGGACTCACAGAACACGCTGTCGCGGTGACAGAGCACCCGCCCCTTCTCAGGGCAGTAGGCGGGCGGCGGCTCCTCCAGCGGCTTGTTGAACTGGCAGTAGTTGGGCAGCAGCGCGGGGATCCACTGGATCTCCACGGCGGAGACGCCTGCCAGAGGGGGAGGGGCGGGGTGAAGGGCACCGCTGCTGGAGGGGCCGGAGCCATCTCCCCACCCAGGGCCCAGGACACGGCTCACAGAGCCACGGTGGGCTAGGCCAGGGCCAGCCACAGCTTTGCCATCTTTCTTCCTTTTTTAAAATTTATTTTATTGATGTCAGAGAGGAAGGGAGAGGGAGAAACATCAATGAGAGAGAATCATGGGTCGGCTGCCCCCTGCACGCCACCCCCCTACTGGGGACCAAACCTGCAACCCAGGCAGGTGCCCTGGACCGGAATTGAACCCGGGACCCTGCAGCCTGCAGCCGACACCCTATGCGCTGAGGGCGCCGCGGGGGCCGCTACCTTTCATGTACATCTTGGTCGTCTCCACAATCTCCTGGTAGACCACGAAGTCGGGCAGCTCCCTGAAGAGGACGGAGCTGGGGTGGATGAAGACGGGGTCGTCCAGGAGCGGCGTCTGCAGAGAGGGGATGCGTGGTGAGTCCAGGAGACCAGGAGTGGTGAACCCGGGGCGCACCCGTCCGAGGGACCGGGGCTCGGCCTGGAGCAGCCGCTGACGTGCACGGACACGCCACAGCCCGGGTGCCAGGAAAGGCCGTGTGTCCCGGGCTCCTTCTCGCAGGAGCCACTCGGAATGAGCAAAGCCGGAGACAGAGGTGGAGCCGGTGCGGAGACAGGAAATGGAGTGACTGGGGGCGGCGCAGGGTTCGTCGTGGGGCAACGAAAATGCCCTAAAGTGGACGGTGGTGACGGCTGCCTGGCTCCCGGAATCTACCGACCACCGAGCTGCACACGTCCCACGGGTGACCTGTCCGTCCTGTGACTTACACCTCAACGGAGCGGTCACGGAAGTGAAGTTGGGGTGAAGCCAAGGCCCAAAGGAAGATGAGACTCCACTGGACACGCCACCCTGATCCGTGCGGGGACGTGACCGAGGACGGGCCCACCCAGAGCCCGCGGCCCCGCCCCCCGTGTGCTGTCCACGCCCACAGGCCAGGCTGGTGTCGGGGTCTGACCCCCCTGCCCCCGCAGCGGGCGCCCACCTTGTAGGCGTTCCTCCACGTGTCGTCCAGCAGGTCCTCGCTCTGCACCCTGCGGGCCAGGTGGTCGCCCAGGCCGGCCGCCACGATCTGCCGCAGACAGGTCACCTGGCTTTCGGAGGGCGGCCGCATCTTGGGGTCCACGAAGAGCCCGGCGTCGGGGCACACGGCGTTGACTGGGGGGAGCCGGGTGTGAGGACGTGGGGCCTGGGGTGGCGTCGCCCCACACACTCAACGGGCGGCTCCCAGCTCCGCACCTCAGACCACAGCCCCTCCGCACCGCGGCCGCCCACCCCCCGCGTCCTCAGGACAGACCCCGCCCTCTGGGGGCAGAGTGGCCCGGACACGGTCCTGCCCGACGGCAGGGGCTGCACTGGACTTTCTGGAATGTTCCTCCCGCCTGGAAAGCAGTGGGATCCACTCCAACTGCCTGCTCACCCACAAGGGGGCGTCGAGCATGGGCCCCGGGAGCAGGGGACAGGGTGACAGAGGGGTGCCACCAAGGAAAGGGCGAGCCTGAGGCCCTGCAGGCAGACGGCCGAGGGCTCAGAGGCCCCAGAGGTGCCCAGGACGGGCTCTGGGGTCACGAGCTATGTGAGCGAGCAGGTGAGTGTGCCAGTAGGAACCGGTGGGTCACTGGGGAGCAACTGTACGTGGACGTCGTCGCTCAGGACGACTCTAAACAGGCAAAGGGCCGAGTTCCCTGCCGGGACTGAGCGTGATGGGACCCGGGAGCCCGGGGGGCGGGTGGGGCGGTACCTGCAGTGGTCAGCTGGCCCCGGAGACGCCGGATCTCCAGCATGGCCTTGTACCGCAGCCCGTGGGCCTCGCAGAACTGGGGCGAGCAGCCCGCATACTCGCAGGCCCCCACGGCGCCTGGGGGAGAGGGGCGCTCACTGGCTGTCCCCCGGCTGCCCCCTCCCCTCCCCTCTCCCCAGCTGCCCCCGCCCCGCCCCCTCAGGCACGCACCCAGCAGCACCATGAGGTCCCCGAGCTTGAGGGACGCCCCGCGCCCGGCCCAGGC